CCGTTGTTCGTCTCATGGGGGTCATCACGGGTCCCGTTTTGATAATCTGAACCGTTCAATGTGTAGAAATTATCGAGTACTATATGTCTGCAAAAAATCACATTGATCGGATATCGATAACTATATGATCAAATCAGTTATGTACAACAAATGGATGGTGTTATAATTAATGATTGAAAAATAAATAAATCTGATCAGATAGCTATCAATAACAGATTAACGTGATTTTTTATAGGTACATAGTGTTCGACGAGTTACACACACTGAACGGTTCAGATTATTAAAATTGGATCCATGATGACCCCCACGGGCCAAACAAAACCGTCCAGTGCTTTGTACAAAAATTAGCCAATAATTTCCAACTCCAATTCACTCCAGCCGGTTGTACGGCTGGGGCCCACCCCTCTCTAATCATCTCTTACACACTTTTTTTATACAATTTTTTAATACACATTTTTTCATAAAAAGTCAAAAAGTTAACCCAAACCTCCATATTTTTTTCTCAACTTTTTTAGTCCAAAAAGACAAAAAGTGCACTTTTTTAGGACACCCCAAACCAAAATATCAAAAAATTATTTTTTAATTTTTAAAAATTTTTTATACCCACCAAAGATAAAATTATATCAAATTGATAAATCTTTTACATATTTATTTATTTATTTTCAACAAATTAATTTTTAATATATGTTTGGATGATGATCATGTAATGTGTGGTTGTTTTTATTTTCATTAAATTATTTTCTATTTTTTCAAAAGTCAAATATGACAACAATTTTGATATCATTATTAAACTAATCCATGAAATCAAAAAATCTAAAACTAAAAATATGTCATATGTTCAATATATCGATTACACATTAAAAGCATAATAACCATCCACTACATGACAATCATCTAAAAATATCCGTTAACAACAAATACAACCATCTATTACATGATAATCATAAAAAATCAAAAAAAAATCAAAAAAACAACCAACCATTACATGATCATCATCCAAACACATAAAAAAGTTAATTTGGTAAAAATAAATAAATAAATATGTAAAAAATTTATCAATTTTAAATAATTATCTTTAGTGGGTAAAAATAATTTTTAAAAATTCAAACATATTTTTTTGACATTCAGTTTTGTCAAATAATTTATATTTTATCAAATTGATGACTTTGCCCGTGAAATTGAGAAATGGTATCTTCAATTGTCCTTATTTGGAACAAAATTCAAAATTAAAAGTCAAATATGTCATAATTGAAAAGTCGGGAACTAAAGTGTCATAAGTCTCAAACTATAAGGACTATTAATATAATTTGCCCAAAAATAAAAAATCAAAATAAAAAAAAACCCAAAAAAAAAACAATACAGGATTTTATTTTATTTTTTTATTATGTAGTGGTAGTTACAAAAAATATCTTATGAAAACGGAGATATTTATGTCCATATGCAGAGAAAAAAAAAAGAAAAAAAAAAAAAGGGAATACCTAACTAAAATTCTTTAAAATTATCATAATTAATTTATCTTCTACTTTTACATTTCCTATGCAAGTGGAAGGAGTTAATAATCATTCTTTCGATTGAAACATAATTATTAAAAAAATAATGTTAGAAATTATAAAAATTCTATTAAAATTTTATCAAATATTTTACATGAGTCTGGACCATACAATGTAAGTCCTTTGTGGGTCTCATCCATGTAAAATATTTGGTAAAATTTTTAAAAATTCTAACATTTTTTTATTAAAAAATAGTGATACTATGTACACTAATTAATATATTAATTAGTGTACTAGCATATGTTATAACATTATTACTGATCACACCTATTAAATAAATTACAAATATTTAAAATTATATCGCATTATTTATTACTACACTAATTGCTATACCAATTAATGCATATAACATTATTTATTAAAAAATAATTAAGCTTAGTGATTAACATTAATTGTTGTTTGAGTTTCTTTGAAAGCCATTATTAACACTCGATAATGTAAACTTTAGAAAAACCCTTTCAAGATTTGTATCACCTCACCAACCATTACTCCTCGTGAAAGTGAGAGGGAAACTTGAAATGTGACCAAGTGGCATGACGTCAGGGGAAAGAGAACTTCTCAATTTCCAAAGAAATTGAACAACAACACCATATTCTATTTGTAGATTTATAGATTGTTTGTTGTAATTTCTGATTACAGTTTGATAAATAGAAATAGTTTAAATAAATTGAAAAAAGAAAATTTAAAATATAGGAAAAGAGTAATTTTGATTTTTGTTTTTCGATTATTAATTTTAAATTTAACTGCTTTAAACAAACTCATTATCTTTTAAAATTTTAATACAAAAATAATATATCCTATAATTTAGACCAATGACTATTTTTTTAAAATACTACCTGAACTTGTTTACTAGACTATTCACTAATTTCTCAAATGCCATGTCCACCAAGGTATATAGGTGAACTCCTAAATTGGTGTGCAAAACATCTCCAACTGATCAATCACAATCTTATATCAATGAGGCTATGAAGTAGTTTTTTTTTTTTTTTTCTAACACCACAATATATCATGATAAAAATGGCATTTGCACACAAATCTTAATTTATGAACTTATATTCCATTAAGTCTTAACTAAGATTTTTTTGGACTTTCAAGTCCTATTAAATTTTTAATAGTTAAAATTACCCTTCAAATAATGATTGTTCATCATTTATGATTATCTATAAAGAAACATAATGATTTGACATTTATTTTGATTTTCAAAACTTTAAAAACTTTATTTTGATTCAAACCAATGAATAGAAGGGTAAAAACGTTTAATCACATATTCTATATTTTTTTCCTCAATTAGTGAAACAATTATTTAGAATATTACTATGCAAAATTGATAATATTCTTAGTTTTAAAAATTAGAAAAAACTGATAATATTATCAGTTTTACTAAATATGACTTATTGATTCAAAAAATCTTAAATAAAACCTAAGCTATCATAACATTTATAAATAAGACTTTTAGATAATTAACTCATATATATATATATATATATATATAACGAAGCATAAATATTTTATTCAATATACATCATTCTCGCTTTAGATCCCCACCAAAAAAAATTCTTCCTCCATCCCAAAACAATATTCCCTTCTAGGAAATTTAACTTTTTTTAGTAGTACAATTATTTTACTTTAAAAAAAATTGATTTTTCAAAATTATCATTTGATAGTACATTTTTTGAAAAATATCAATTGTCATAATTGTATTTTTTGTGGTGTTAATGAATTTTAAAAATGAGTAAAATAGAAAATTTATATTATTTTAATCATTGAGTTTCGAAAAATGACTAGTATTTTGAGAGAATGAAAAATGAAATAAAAGACTAATAAATATATTTAAATCATACCCAATGCAGCAACAACAAGAACTTACTGAAAAAGGTAATGAGTATTCACCCTTTTGTGATGAGTTGACTTCTTTTAAATTCACATTTTAATTGAAGAGAATTTGAGAGATTTATGAGACTTATTACGGGTTCCGTTTTAATAATTCTAATTATTCATTTTATAGGATTCTCAATATATATTATCTACGAAAAAAATTAATTCAATCCAATAATCGTAACATTTTTTATTTTACCGCATTTGTTTATAAAAACATGAATTATAAATATATTTTTAAAAATAGACAATATATGTTTTTAGAAACAAACACGATAAAATGAAAAAAAATACAATTATGAAATTGACCTATTTTTTTTCATAAATTATACATTGAAAACTCTACAAAATGGATAATTCAAATTATTGAAATAAGATCTCATAGATACTTCAAATTCTCTCAAAATGAAATGTAAACATAAGAGAAGTGAACTTTTTTCAAATCTCAAAATTGGCGCCAAAGTACTGGGAGTGAATAGCACTTTCTATCACAAGTCAAAAACAAAATGTGATAAGAAAAATCATCTCTAATGCACAAAGCTCTTGCTTATTGAGAAAGATAGTAGAAAGGTAAGGTGACTCGCCCTCCATACTTTATTTCGCATTCCTTCATACTTTATTTCGTGGGCTCTATCCTAGGCTCACAACAGTGGTCCAAACTGTTCATCTCATAAGCTTAGTAGTAAAGATGAGTTGTGCAAAACAATCAATTTCATCAGAATCACTAAACACATGACAAATTACATTTTATTATTAAAACGGATGGCAAATATGAGTTTAAAGTTAAAACTATCTATTTAGTCAAATAAAATGCAAATTGTTCACTGACATTTGATGAAAGAGAATCCCACAAATGAAATATGAAAGAGTATGGAGGATATTGGTATGGAGGAGTAATTCTCGAGTTACTCTTACCTTTTTGTGAAGAATCTAAAATCTTATTAACTTCAAGCACTTGACATTCTAGAATTCTGCAGTTGTCTGGATCAAATCTCCAACTTATCCCGGCACTTGATTGATCACGACCTTATGAGTTTCACTTGAACAAACAAAATAGCTACATTGTGAGAAATAGAAACAACAAAACTTCTCCAAAATAGATTTACCAAGTTACATCATAACGTAAATTGTTTATGAGCAGATTAATGAAAACTCACTAAAAATAAAACAAAATTTCTCCTATTGAAAGATCATGTGTACATACAAAACAAAACCCCAAAAAAAAAAAAAAACTGGTGATTGAAATCATATACACATGTACCCACCCACATGTCAACTATCACCTCATCTTTATCATTCCATTTTCAAAACAAGTAATTTGCATGGGTATAGATACCAAACAACTCTACACACCTTCATGCTATTTACGATGCCATCTCTCTTCAATGGCTAACTTAGAAATTGAGGCCCTGTAACAGTTGTTGGGCTTCGAGTGACCTTTCTGATGTCATGACTCAAACTCCTAGCTGATAATTGAATATGAGACTGACAGGCGGAAGCTAAGATCCATTAATACTCACATTAGGTGCATGGGTGGGTGAAAGGATCTATCTGCTGAAGCAACCACGCAATTTTTCATGGAATGGATTGTTAAGATGCATCTGGTAATTCCTTAGCGTTCTTCACAACCAAATCATAGTTGATGGAAGCCAACTGAGACAAGTTCTGAGTACAAAGGAACATATTACAAAATTAGATTTCAACATAATGAGCTGACAATGGACATTTTTTGGGCATAACCTGGAGATAAAACGATTATACTTCGAAGGTAAAAGCCAATTTTCAAGGATAACTCATTTATTCAAACCACCACCAGTTTCCATCACTAAATTGAATAGGATGATGTGAACAGAGTGACAGAATTTCAATTCCATGTGGTGATTAACTGTTTCCCAATCCAAACAGCAAAAATCTAGGCGTAGAAAGTCTCACCTTAAACGAGAAATTACTAAATGAGTACTGCACACTAAGGGTTGGAGCATTGAATTCAGCCAAATGTCCGCATTCATCCCCCTGTTTTCAAGACCCATAATGGTTAGCATGGTAATTAGAAATATCAACTGGTACAAATCATATTATTATGCTTTTTTTCAAGTCACATTAAGCCATGTGGCTCATATCCATATGTATCCATTTGTAATTAGAGCAATCAAATCTGGATTTCTGGTCTGCAATGGTAGATACTTATTGTCATATAAAAAAAGAATACATACATCTTCATCTTGTGTGTAGCATGAACCACTGCTGCAAGAAATACTACATGTTTCAGTCATGTCATCAAAGTCACTGCCACCACCAACATTTTCATCTTCTGGGTTCCAAACGTAGCGGCTCATAAAATAACTAGTGTCAAGTGCTTCAGCTGAAGGTATAAACATGGCCTGCACATTGGTGAGTTTGCAAATTCATTAACAATTGATTGCTTTCTGTTAAAAAAACAAAAAAGAAGAAGAAGAAGATTCAAACAAATGACCTTCTGCCTTGCAAGTGTGTCCCAGTTGATATCCTTAAAGAAAAAATGTTGCTTTACCTGCAAAAATTAACTTACAGCCTTGCTTAGTTTCTATTGCCATCAACACTTGCAAATAAGCCTCGATTAAATGTAGAAAATTGTTTTTACCTCTCTGGCCCCTGTTGCACCTAATCTTTGACCTGGATTTTCTATCAGCAATCTGAAATAAAGAAGAAAAAAAATATGTAGTTGCTAAATACATCTTTCTTGGAACTTTCTCAAGTACAAAAGGACCCAAATGACTAGTACATCAATAACAGTTCCATATAGCTGCCAGATATTAGTACTTATGGATCCTTAATTCTATGTTGCTGAAGCAGCTGAACAGCAAACATGCATAAAAGTTGGACAAAGTAAAATGGAAACACATATCTGATGCACAAGTAGTGAAAGAAATCATAGTTCTATATCTTTACAAATTCTTAAGAACCTTGCACATTGCTTTAGCTGGAAATAGTGGCAGTAATATACCAACCAAGAACATTAAAATGATCAAAATATGTTAAATTAAAATGGTAGTGACAAAATCATGGCACAATATCAACGTAAAAAAGACAGACAAGAGAGGTGACAGTCAAGAAGATATTATTATTACTACTAAATGTTTTTGAAATTACCTCCAAGATCAACTAGTTGGTATGGCATCTAGTTTCTCTTTCATTCCTTCTAACAAAGATAGAAATTGAACTCCTAAAACCACCCCTCCCTTACAAATGCCAAGTCAGTAATTTACTGGTGTGGTACAATAGCTTTACACAAACAGACAGATGCAGAACTTGGAACAATACAGAACTGCAGATTAGTATAAAAGTGAGTTTAATTTTAATTGCTTTCATATCATTAGTGACGCAAGGAAGCGTGTATGGAATGAATACAAGCAACAAAACAACCATGAACAACTTATATAAAGAAACACTATGTAATTTATTAATAATTCACCAAAAGCATCACATAGGTATTTATACTAAACTAATTCTTGTAGAGTAAGCTATGAACCTACCAAATGGGCTAATTCTTGCCAACTACGGAAAACAATCAAGGAAAGATTAAGTCTTGCTAAAGAAGGAAAATTTACTGGCTTGCTAATCGAAACTTCCTTGACTTTTGTTTATCCAACTGTGTAAAGAAAACTTCCACCACTTGTTCTGCATTCATGTCAAACTTTAGGAAAGTGATATGGAAACAATCTCTTGCTCTTGAACCACTTAACGGCTAGTGCTTGTGCTGAGTTAGGATCATCTCTTACTTGGAACTTAAAAAGTAGTTCCACACTGAACCCTTCATGTCAAAATTCCAATATATCCAAAGACATTTTTTTTTTTCTTTTCAAACTACCTTTTACTTGCACAGAAACACATTAAATTGGTCAAAAATAACAAAACAAGTCAATATAGATACAACAAGAGCAATACTATCTGTTACAATACACATATTGGTGGTTTACATGATAAAAACCAACTAAATCTCAAAGTGCGTAGTTCATATTAGGGATGTATTGATATTGTGGGTGAGAGGTGTGGTTAGAGATAGTCAAGGAAGATGGCGGCACTTCAATGGACTGAGATCACCGGAGGTGGCGAGAAGAAGGCCAAGGCAAGCTTGGAGAGGGAGAGGTTGGGAGTAATGGACCTTGAACACTAATGTAGAATGTGAGAGGGGGTGTTTAAGCGTGAGACTTAGGCCTCGTTTGTTTTCAGAGATAAAATGGAGGGGATTGATAGTGAGGGGATTAATAGTGAGGGGATTGTTAGTGAGAGGATTGATAGCGAGGGGATTAAGTAAAATTGTGTTTGTTTTGATAATAGCTGTTAGCGTAGGGATTGTCAAATTATTTTTATATAAAATAAATATAAAACAATAAAAAAATACAAAAAAATTAAACATGAATGTTTTAATAAAAATACCCAACATGTAAAAAATTTTAAAAAAATAAAAATAAAATAAAAAATTTCTAGAAAAAAATAAAACAAATAAAATAATGATTTTTACTTAACAAAAAATATAAAAAATTAAACATTAATTTTTTAAAAAAAAATGTCCGACATGTAAAAAATAAAATAAAATAATAAATAAAAATAAAAAATTTCTAGTCCGCCGGACTATTTTTCTAATACCAAGTCCTACAGGCCCATCCTAATCCCCTCCCCAAGGGGATTCGTAGTCCGGAGGGGATTACGAATCCCCTCTCCATCTTTCAAAACAAACATGATATTAGTGGGGCTCTACCTCACTATGAATCCCAATCCCCTCTCTATAACCCAAAACAAACGGGACCTTAATGTGTTAGAATTATGGAGTATTGTTGTGGTGAAGTGAAGTTTCTTGCTACATATACGATATGTTATATAGGCCACAAGAGTATTGGAGCCCAAGCAAACTGTTGAACAGGTGGCTCGTTCTCACCAACTCTGCCAGAAGTGATATAAGCCCTTTTACCATCTACCAGGCGGAGAGCAACGTTTCATGGTAGGAGGAAAGTAACATTTCGTATATGCATTGGATGACATGAATGTAAGGTCGTTGTTGCCTCTTCTCCAAGCCTGGTCAAGATGGAGTTGTCTTAGCAAGAAGACAACCATCTCGACGATCCTATGACCTCAGCCGCCAGTCCAATATCCTCTAATGATCCTAAGCAGTAGTGCTTGGGTCCTGCTCCCAACCAGGCAACCAAGTAGGTGAATGAGCCAAGGCCCACCTCAGTGTTTAGGAGAGCCAGGGGCTCGCTTCCAAGCAACCAAGTAGGAGAATGGGCCGCCAGCCTATCTTAATGTTTGGGAGAGCCAGGGGCTCGCTTCCAAGCTACCATGTAGGAGAATGAGCCATGGGCCTATCTCAATGTTTAGGAGAGCTGGTGTTTATCAGTCCAAGTCCAAGTGAACTGGGGGCTGATTATATTGTTGTTTGGTCTTGGAGCAAGATATGAAGAACCATGGGCCCTGCGGGGCCATGGTACTGCCTGGTGCAGGGCTCTTCATATTTAGATATATTTGAGCTTGTATGTATGCTCCTGCTTAGGAATAGTCTTGGTTTTGCATGGTGCCTTGGCACACAGTGCCCGTAGGGCTCGCCATGTATCAAACACATGATATGCCCACGTGGTGTCTTATTGGTCTGCCATGCGGGTGGGGTTTTGGTGATGTGGCACTCGTAGGGCTTGCCGCGTATTGGGTTTGATACAAGTACCCACAGATATCTATCATGTTGCCACCACGGAAGATTTTCAAAAAAAGCAATGTATGAGTGGCCAACAAGGATCCGATAGAAAATCCACAACCAAGAGGGGAAAAAAAAAAAAACTAGCATTTTGATTTTATCTCAACTTACAATCTTTTGAATATTACTGATTTCTTCAAATAATTGTTTACCAAAGAAAACTATCAAAAACAAATTCCATGCAAGTAGTGATCCCAATGGCCATTTTTACTGTAATAATGACACACACACTTCTACCTACAAGTATGGTCAAACAAAAGAACTTGCATAAATAGGTAGCTGACGACCAAAAACAGCATTATATCATATCATAATTTTAATATCCAAGAACTCAGCTTTTTTTTTCAAACTTACTTGTCAATTAAGTCATATGCTTCATAGCTCATTTCCTCTGGTATTTTGGGCCAGGGTATATCTCTATTCATAATGTTGTCAAATATTTTCTGCAGTAAACATGACCCATCAGTAATGATACTTATTTGTATGCCCAAAGTTAACCAAATTGTACAACCAAAAAACTTATCAAGGTCAACAATTTCTATTCATGTGGTTAGATATCAGAAAATATATATATATATATATAGACACATGTGAATATTGCACATGGCTATTCTATCCAACAGATTTACACAGTGACCAAGTACTGGTAAAAGTAAAAGAAAAACTGTAGTAAGCAGCATCCTGAAAAATAAAATAAAATAAAAAAGAAGGTAACATTATATGGATTCTACTATTTCAGCTTGCTACAGTTCACATCCCATGCCTTCATAAATTCGCACAAACCCACTATGTGCTGTGGTGGAAGTTACAAATGGAACTATTTCATGGTCTTAGGTAGAACTCAACAACTCCAAAAGCAAGCTATTAAAGTGAGGGTTCCCTCACACTTAGGCCTTGTTTGGCATGCAAGTGTTTTAGCTTAAAAGCCAAAAAATTACTAAAAAAACCAAAAAGCCTATAACCTATACCAAAAAGTCAAAGATTCTCTTTTCTCTCTACTTTTGTAAAAAACTAAATAGTCATTCCAAACATACTAGTTTTTTTACCTCATATTTTAGCCAAAAAGCCAAAATGTTTACTTTTGTACCCTGGCAATGTGAGATTTCGCTTCACACCCTCCCTCACTCATAGCATGCTCACTTACTTGCCAACACCTACCGTATGCAGACCAAGGACATGCACCCTACCCATACCCACTACTCTGGCTTTGAAACCATGTTAAGTCACCAATTATCTTAAAAGATTAAACTGTTAGAAAATGAGCTCAATAATGTATATCAAATTATTCAACAATGTAACATGGTATCACAGCCGGAGTACCAGGGATGATTAGGGTGTGTGTCCTTGGCTTGCATGATACAGGCACTACCAAGGAAGGGTGTGAAGCAAAGTCCCACATTACCTTGGTAATAAAGTAGTACACAATATATAAGCATGAGGCACCTTCGCCTCAATAGCTAGCTTTTTGGATTGAGTTCTACCCAATACCGTGTAACTTGGTGTTAGAGCTTAGGATGTGAAAGGTCTTCCATTCAAGTCTCTCCATTTGCATTTGGTCTCTATTTGCATTATTTCTTCTTGCGTTCGCAGTCTTTCTTCTCTCTCGGGATGGATGCTTGCATCTCCACATGCAAGGCATAATTGCACATGAGGAAGGCTATTGCATAGCTTGATATACATTGTTGGGCTTGTTTCCTAATAGCTTAGACTTTTGGGACAATTGGTGACTTAACTGAAACAAAAATCAATAGCCCTAAAACAATAAATTGACATAAAAGAACCTCAAGTGATTAACTCAGTACAATTTTGTAAAGAACTTGATCCTCTCTAATCATGAATTCATGATTGCAGCCCAAAATGAAGTTTTTTAAACACAAGGAGATAGAAAAAATCTCAAAGGATAACAATTAGATACAATATTCATAATAAGTCACACAACAATAACTTATGTTGTTCATTTTATTAGTCCATAACACCGATACTTGTCATTTCTTTATTTAAATTGGGTGCTAATGTACGCAATTATGAAGCCCACCAAATATGTTTAAACATCCCATAGACATCTACCACAAATGAGAAGTATAGTGTTTTTCTTGGAAAAACAAAAACACTACTTTGACAAATGTCCAAGAATATGAAATTAGCAACCATTCCCATTGTCAAATTGACAAAATCGGTCAAACTTTAATATCTCAGTTAGATTTCACACCAAATAACAAATGTTGCTAGCTCTAACCAATGGGTTAGATATACACCTTTTCTGCTATCATTTGTGCGCTCCACTAATTTCACAGGCCATTGGTGTGAATGATTGAATGAACATCCCAGGGTTGGGTGGGTGGGGGTGGTGATGAGCATATTGTAAAGGCTTTTTTTCTTCTTCTTCTTTGTCACAGATGTCAAAAAATTAAGTATTTAAAATGCATATGAAAATGAAAATCACAGTCCATCCTTCAACAGTTGATGAATTGTCAAGTCCAGGCGACTTACCTGTGGATGGTCTGCATTAAAAGGAGGAATTCCTACAAGGAGTTCAAAAAGAATAACACCCACAGACCACCAATCTGCAGTTGCACCTACAACAAAAATAGTACGCCAAGATAACACAATTCAAAACCAGGGAAAAAAGAGGAGAAATAAAAGAAGATTGCTAGTTCACAGCATCTGAAATATCCACTTAGCAAATAAATTCCGAACCATGTCCCATGCCAAGAAGTATCTCAGGTGCCAAATAGTCAGGGGTGCCAACAATTGAGTGCTTTTGGCGCTGTTCTCTTTTAATGAATGATTGTGATGCAATTTTTGGTTCATCGTCCCCAAGAAAAGTCGTACTACTAACTGCTGGACCTGAAAAGTCATCTGTGCTGTTTATGAGACCTACCTTGGAGAGCCCAAAATCTGTCAACTGTAACAGAAGGGATTAGATTTGTGAGAAGTGACAAGTAATATATCAATTACAATGGCCACACAAATACTAACAATAATAATAATAGTAGTAGTAGCAGTACAACATAACAATAGAGCTTAAAAATAGGTTAGTATGAGGCAACAATAGGTTTCACTTAAGAAATCAATAGCACATAAGTAAAACTTTTGATGTACACCACGATTAGAAGAATTGACATCAAAAGGACGTTAGTTCAACATAACATAAGAAATAGGTTCACCATCCTTACACAAACTCAAACAAGTACAAGGTCTATTAAAAGTTGACCAATCACAAATTATCAACCCTCCCAATAAATTCTAATTAAAAAAAAAAATCGAACATCAAGGACCATTTCAAATCCATTAGAGAACTTGCTTGATGTTGCACTACATACTAAAGTATTATCAAGTCAAAAAGGAAGAGTAAAAGCTTTTGTTGAGGTGCACGAGACACCAAACGTAGGTATGCTTGCTTCCTTTCAGCATTTTTTTTACACTTAAAATTGTTGGAACAAATTGCCTTGAATTCTCCAATTAATGGTCTTCAGGTCTTCAAAACTTGGCAATGAACTTGTCTATGTAGAATAGAAATATGATGCTTCAAGTCGCATTACTTAGTCGCTTTCCTAAAGACAATATTTGCACCCATCAAAAAGTGTGCAAGGGGTTACAGCAAATTCGCCTCCAGAATACAATGAAGCCAGACTTAAAGATCAAGTCTACCGGCGTCAGCACTAACGACAGTAGATCAGAATATTCTTGATATAATCAAGAAAACCAAGACACTAATAATCAAATCTGCAGAACTTGATTACTAGTAAGAAAAGCAGAAATTTGCTTAAGAAACTCTTGTTCGAAAACCCAAAGTCAAGAGGGAGGGAGAGAGAGAGAGAATTGCAGGGATGCCTCTAAATTTTTTGAATGGAATGAAATGGTTGTTTCCGCAGCCTATTTATAGGCCTTGATGCACCTAATCGAATGGTCATGTCCCTTGATCGCATCCGATCAGATCTAACCGTTGGATCGATGATCTACGGTGCAGATCATTCTCACACGGAATAGATGTCTTGACTAATCACACCTGATCATGATCGGGTGCCATCTCATCCGTATGATCGCGCGCATCTCCAATCAACAGCTATAATCAAATCACTCCAACGGACATACAACCGTGCGATCGGTTGGTTGACTCACCGCTAACGAACGCCACATCACTGCCATGTGGAGCTGACTGCATTCCACATTGGATCCACGTCATCGCTCCAACCTATCCTATGCAAATAGGAAAGCGCCCTCATGGCGCCTTGCGCTGAGCTAAGTGCAAAGTGCGCCATCAAACGCCACACAGCCCATGCCACGCGCTCGCGCGTACGTGTGCGTGTGCAGCTTCGCACCATCCTTGCAGTGTGGGTGCATGCACACTAGCTTTCACCTCACAATTCCATATTAAAAGAAATATTCCATGTAGCACTTTATTAAGTGCTCCATGTTTTCCTCTCATTCCGATGTGGGACAAAGTCCCCAAGCTTGTTTCAAGCTTTCCAAAGAAAAACAAGAAAGGTTTTGAAAACACCCAAAAATTAATCTATACATTTTAAAAACCATTTTGAAAAATTCCCCCACCATTGTCAAAATAGCAGATGATGACTCTTGGTTCACTTGGCAGCCTTATGCATAGATGAAGATATCTTATGATTTGAATCATTCACTTAGTAAAGACATCTCAAAGTTAATCAAGATGGCATAGTAGACTTGTCTTTAAACTAGCGATCTTATACGACTAACCGGACATGTCTCACGCACAGTACAGGTTACCTCAAGTATTCAAACAAACCGACACGTGGAGTGGCCTTGTGTTTATATCCTGTTTCATGAGCGCTCTAGAGTCAAGCCCTTGGACTCATAGGAAGTGGCACCACCTCTTACACTCACATAGGTAAGCTTACTAAGAGTGCCCCTATAATTTACAGTACCCTAACAACTCAGTTGTAAGCTTATTAAGAGTTTGCTAACTCATCATCTTCTTTTCACATTACAGGTACCAAGCACTTTAACCTTGGGATGAAAATGAAATAAAACTAAGTACTTGCAATCACGACATCTGGTACTTGGGCTCATTGAACTCAAGACTTGATGTTTCTTCAAGCGTTAAGTCGAGTTTCCACCAGGAGTGATTATGTTAAGTGGGCTTAAGACCCATCCCCTTTGATGTTTTCCACAGCAAATCCCTTACAAGTCCCTTTGTTGAGGGGTCAGCTAAGTTTTCACTTGACTTTACATAACTAATGGTAATCACACCTTCTGTGATTAACTGCCTGACATAGCTATGTCTCAGTCGGATATGCCTGGACTTTCCATTATAGACATGGCTATAGGCCCGTGATAGAGTTGCTTCACTATCACAATGCAAAAATATTGGTGGCATAGGTTTTGACTATATCTTCATCTTTAACAAGAGATTCCTTAGCCGTTCTGCCTCTTTGCTACAAGATGCTAATGCTACAAACTCAGACGCCATGGTTGAGTCTGTTATGCATGTTTGCTTCTTAGAACCCCAGGAGATAGCTCCTCCTCCAAGAGTAAAAATCCAACCACTCGCGGACGAGTGATCTTCACGGTCAGTTATCCAACTAGCATCCATGAATCCTTCCAGCACTGCTGGATAGCCATTATAGACTATTCCATAGTCTATGGTTTTCCTCAAGTACCTAAGTACTCGGTTAACAGCATGCCAATGCACACTACTAAGATTACTAGTGTATCTACTAAGTTTTCCCACTGCAAATGCAATATCAGGTCTAGTGCAAGTCATGGCATACATCAGGCTACCTATCACTCTTGAATATTAGTTGATTAACAGCTCTTCTAGTATTAGGATATAATTTCAAATTTGAATCAAAAGGTGTAGACATGGGTGCACAATTATATTGATTAAATTTTTTAAGAATTTTCTCAATATAGTGCGACTGGGTAAGAATCAAATTATTGTCCTCTCGTTTGATCTTAATACCCAGAATTGCATCAGCCAAGCCCATGTCTTTCATACTAAAGCTAGACGACAAGAAACTTTTAGTACTTTCAATGACATCATTGTCAGTACCAAAAATAAGCATGTCGTCTACATATAGGCATATGATTACACCTCTGTTGCTAGTAAACTTACTATACACACACTTATCAGATTCATGTATCCTAAAACTATTTGACACTATTACTTTGTCAAATTTCTCATGCCACTGTTTTGGAACTTGTTTTAGTCCCATTTAGCGACTTCATGAGTTTACACACTTTGTGTTCTTGACCCTGTACAACAAATCCTTTTGGTTGTTGCATGTAGATTTTCTCATCTAACTCTCCATTTAGGAAAGCGGTCTTAACATCCATTTGATGGATTTCAAGCTTGTAGATTAAAGCTAAGGCAATCAACACTCGAATGGTGGCAATTCTGGCTATCAGAGTAGATGTATCAAAATAATCAATACCCTCTTTTTGAGTAAAATCCTTAGCAACTAATCTTGCTTTGAACTTGTCAATTATGCTGTCAACTTTCATTGTCTTTTGAAAATTCATTTACAACCAATTGGTTTGGATTCAGGTAGCAAATCAACAAGTATCCAAGTATTGTTATCCATGATAGAATCCATCTCATCGTTTATTGCTTCTTTCCAGAAAGCAACATCTTGAGAATACATAGCCTCCTCAAAGGTTAATGGATCTGAATCCATATTCAAAGAAATCATTGTTTGCTTACAAAAAGCTTTCCTAGTTCCTTCTACAAGGTAAATAATGAAATCAAGGCCAAATGACTTCTCAATCCTAGCTCTCTTACTCCTCCTTAGCTTAATGGGCTCATTAGGTTCATTAGGCTCCATGGATTCATGTCGTTCACTTTCCTCTGTAGACATCAAAGGAGTTGATTCATTTTCTTGATTAGAATCCAACCTTGGAATGGTTGTGGAACGATTCTCATAAAATATCGCATCACGTGATTGAATGATGGTATTTGTTTCCACTGAACCATTGGGCTCTACTACCAAAAACCTGTATGCTTTGCTATGTATAGCATAGCCAGGGAATATGCATTCAATTCCTTTTTCACCTAAATTTTTCCTTTTAGGTTCAGGCAATCTGACTGTTGCTCTACAGTCCCATGTTTTCAAGTAACCAAGATTAGGTTTCTTGTTTTTCCAAAGTTCATAAGGAGTAACATTTCTTCTCTTGAAAGGAACTTTATTGAATATGTGACAGGCAGTGAACAAGGCTTCACCCCAAAAACCAGAACTTAAATTAGAGTAAGAAAGCATAGCATTAATCATTTCTGTTAATGCCCTATTCTTTCTTTCAGCTACTCTATTTTGTTGTGGTGTGTAGGGTGCAGACTTCTTATGAATAATACCAACATTTTCACAATATTCTGGAAAATGATATTCACCGCCTCTATCAGACCTAAGTCTCTTTATTTGACATTACACTAATTTTCCACTTCTGTCTTAAAAATCTTGAATTTATCAAGCACCTCATCTTTTGAATGCAAAAGATAGATATGACAGTACTTAGAAAAATCATCAATAAATGTTGCAAAATATCTCTTACCACCTCTAGTGGGGGTACTATGCATGTCACATACATCACTATGCATAAGTTCAAGCAGAGATGTGATTTTATCTACTTTAGGAAATGGAATGCGAGTAATTTTAGATTACACATAAAATTTGCATTTTTCAAACATATCATTATCATACTTAGGAATTAAATCTAAATTAACCATATCATGCAATTTCCTAGTATTAACATGACCTAAACGAGCATGCCATAAAGAAAGAGAATCAACAATATAAGCAAAAAATAGATGTATTATTGATAACGTTAAGTTTGAACATTCCTTGATACATATAGCCCTTCCCAACAAAAATTCCACCCTTAGACGGGACAAATTTGTCCGACTCAAATACTAACTTGAAACCATACTTATTAAGCAAGCTTCTAGATACAAGATTTTTCCTGACATCAGGTACATGATAAACATCACTAAGACTTAAGACTTTTCCATATGTGAACTCTAAATCCACCGTCTCTTTGCCTTTGATAGCAACAGTTGAAGAGTTGCCCATGTAGAGAACTGTTCTATCACTCACTTGTTCATAAGTAGTAAAACGGCTTTTGTCGTTGCCGACATACCTTGTTGCTCCTAAGTCAATCCACCAGTCACTAGCATCTTTAAGCATGTTCACCCCGGATATAACAACCACGAACTTGTTCTTGGCATTTGATGCTTCTGGCTTCTTCTTGTATGACCGGCATTCATTTCTAAAGTGCCCTGGCTTGCCACAGTGCTAGCAAGCCCCTTTCGGCTTCTTAGTATCTTTCTCGGGTTGGGGTTCACGCTTATACTTCTTTTTGTTAAACCTCTTGCCATCATCCACCATGTGGATCTTAAAAGTCCAAGCCAATTGGTTATCTTTACCTTCAAGAAGCCTTGACTAGTCCTCAACTCGAAGGTGTTGAGCCAATTCCTCTAAAGTAAGATCTTCCTTTTTGTGTTTCAGAGTTTTCTTAAAATCCTTCCAAGAAGATGGCAGTTTCTCTATTATAGATGAAACTACAATAGATTCATCCATGTTCATATTCTTTTGTCGAAACTGACTCAGAATATGTTGGATCTCATGGAATTGTTACATAATGGGCTTTGTATCAATCATAGTAAAACGCATAAAATTACTAACAAGAAATTTTTTACTAGTGGCATCCTCGGTGAGGTACTTTGACTATAATATGTCCCATAGTTGCTTTGTCATTTCCAGATGTTGATACACGTCGAACAAAGAGTCTGACAGTGCATTCAGAATGTGTCCTCGGCAAATGTAGTCGTCATTCTCCCATTTGGTTCTGGTACGGGTTTGCTCCATAGTCTCGTCTTCTTGCTCCACCGGATAGGGGGTAGTTAGCACATAGACCACTTTGAGAGTGGTGAGCAAAAAGTGCATCTTCTTTTGCCAGCGTCAAAAATTTCTTCCATCAAAACGGTCAAGCTTAATGAAATCTTGAGTCATTTTCTGAATAGACATCGCCATATCTAGGTATTGTCTTTAGATTGTTGGAACAAATCGTCTTGAATTCTCCAATTAGTGGTCTTCAGGTCTTCAAAACTTGGCAATGAACTTATCTATGTAGAACAGAAATATGATGCTTCAAGTCGCGTTACTTCGTCGCTTTCCTAAAGACAATATTTGCACCCACCAAAAGGTATACAGGGGGTTATAGCAAATTTTCGCCTCCAGGACACAATGAAACCTGATCTAAATATCAAGTCTATCGGCATCTGCACTAACGACAGTAGATCAGAATACTCTTGATATAATCAAGAAAACCAAGACACTAATAATCAAATCTGCATAACTTGATCACCAGTAAGAAAAGCATAAATTTGCTTAAGAAACTCTTGATTGAAAACTCAAAATCAAGAGAAAGAGAGAGAGAGAGAATTGTAGGAATGCTTCTGAATTTTTTGAATGGAATGAAATGAAATGGTTGATTTTGCAACCTATTTATAGGCCTTGATGCACCTGATCGAATGGTCATACCCCTTAATCGCATTCGATCAGATCTGACCATTGGATCAACGATCTACGGTGCAAATCATTCTCACACCAAATAGATACCTTGACTAATCACACCTGATCACGATCAGGTGCCATCTCATCCGTACGATCGCGCAAATCTCCAATCAACGACTATGATCAAATCGCTCCAGATCTGACATATAACCGTTCGATCGGTTGGTTGACTCACCGCCAACAGACGCCACGTCACTACCACATGGAGCTGACTGTATTCCACATTGGATCCACGTCATCGCTTCAACCTGTCCGATGCAAATAGGAAAATGCCCTCATGGCACCAAGGTAAGTGCAAAGTGTGCCATCAAACGCCACACAGCCCACGCCACACGCACGCGCGTGTGCGTGTGCAGATGGTGCGAAGCACCATCCTTGCGGTGTGGGTGCATGCACACTAGCTTTCACCTCACAATTCCATATTCAAAGGAATATTCTATGTAGCACTTTATTAAGTGCTCCATATTTTCCTCTCTTTCCGATGTGGGAAAAAGTCCCCAAGCTTATTTCAAGCTTTCCAAAGAAAAACAAGGAAAGTTTTGAAAACACTCAAAAATTAAACTATACATTTTAAAAACCATTTTGAAAAATTTCCCAACAAAAATTGTGAATGAACAAATATTCAATCTCTTCATTTTAAATTCACCTGACAAGTGATAGCATATAAAAATTCATCAAACAGACCATATAAATGGTTCATAGGAAAATCCACCATTCAAAAAGAAAAAGGTGACACCACTCCACATACATGGCCAATGGTAAGAGATTTTGAGCCCACCCTCTCTACTTTCCAAAAATTATTTTTTAGTGTAAGGTTTTGAGAATGTCTTTCAATTTGTCCCCTCCAAAATTTGTTTGTAGCTCTTTTCTATTATCTTTTCAACAAAACACCTACAATTTAACCATTCAGTTTTTATTTTGTTATAAAATTCCTTTATATATATCATATTATAAATAATTATTATTTTTCCAACTACTCAATGGAATATGATTTCTTTGCTGCTTGTTAGCTCATCTGAGATGTTGAAAGTATAGAGATTTTGTTAAGCAATCAACTAGAATTGGGGCATAAATTGAATTCACAAAGAAATTTAAGAAAACACCTTCTTTATGAGTTACAACCGAATCTATAAGGCTCTCCTTCAAATTTGAGGATTTAAAGGATTACAAGAGACAACTATTGGATTTGAATGGTACGATGGTTTATTGTTGTGATATGTATGATATTGACAATTGATTTTTTACCAAACCAAACCAAACTAAGTCTTGTGTCCCAAACTAAGCCAACCCCATAATTTGTCTTTGGACCACCACTTTACGCTTTATGCTAAAGGTTAGGTGTGTACTGAATCTTTCCCCTCCCAAACACACATTAATGTGTACTTATTGGGCGTTGTTTTTTTTATTGCCACCCAAGCAAAAATCCTAGCTCCACCACTGTACATGGCCCATATATACAGAAAGTTCTCTAGGACTTCTTCCCAGCAAACAGTACCAAAATAGGTAAAGTGCTTGAGGCCTTAACATTCTTCTATTTAAATGCCAATTTCCCAAATAAAATAAAGGGAAAAAATACATAAACAAACACAGTAAATTACTTACTAATTCATAAGGTCTGAATAAGAAACACAGTGATATGTTCAAAAAAAACACAGTGAAAAATAATGTTCTACATCATATCAAATATGATGAGAAACAAAATGTCTTGGCTCTTTTGTCCACCAAAACTCTATCGAAGGTTGCTCATGTTAACAAACATGCAAATGGAGCCTCCTGTTACTTTCAACCAAATAAAAACACAAAGTTCTCCCCAAAAAAATATGACAGCTTCTTAAACAGATTATCTTTCCGCTTGAGATATCAGAGTAACTAACACATGATTTGGTTCCTTATTTGAGAGGAGAAATGAGGAATGAAGAGAAGAAGAAAACAGAAAATAAGAGAAAAGAAGTTTAACAAAGTTTCATAATTTCATAGCTGTTTAGGTCTCGAAGAAAGATTATCTTCTCCGGCAATTTATCTTCTTTCCGCCCCTCTTTAATTGAATCAAATTGTGGAAAAGAGAAACATTTTATATACTTCTTCTCTTCTTCTATGGAGTGTAAACCTATTTTTATCTTTACAGCTACACAAATCTATCATACTGTATAAGTTGCAAATAAGTAATATTTATTTGATTATGCTAACGAACCACATATTGTCAGTATTATCTCTCATACATATAAAAGTGACTGGATTACGTTAACAGTGAAAAAACTAGAACTATAATATATTGACCTTGATGTGACCATCTGGACCTATCAACAAGTTATCAGGCTTTAGGTCTCTGTGAATGACATTTAACGAATGCAAATATTCCAGTGCAAGAACCTGCAAATAATAGATCAAAATATTTATAAGGTTATAATATATTTGTAAAGTGAAAAAATAAAAAGAAAAAAAGATAAAGTGTTCATTTTCTCAGTTAAAATTATGGTTATACAAAATGCCTTACAAGTTCTGCCATATATATGCGTGCCATGTCTTCATCTAAGCACCCTAGATTTCTCAGCAAAGAGTAAAGATCTCCTCCATTTAATCCATGACCAAATAAAGATTTTCCCTACATGTGAAGGAGTAGAAAAATCGGACCTGTTATCATTGGAACCAACACATCAGAAAATTATTTCTACATATAGGGTTTCATTCATTTGTTAAAAACTGTAGGGCCTACTCACCACAAAAGGATTGCGAAGTGATATTAAGATATTACGCTCAGCCAAAATGCTTTCAACTGCATTTTTACGAATCGTATCAGCCTTTTTTAAAACCTGTAGAAAAAACAATAGCATACAAGTTATTACCAAACCAACATTGAATCAAGCCATCAAAAGAACAATGCACATACATGGACATGCATTGCATGTAATAGTAAGATTGATAATATTAATAAGGCAAACACGGAGGTAACTCGAACTGACCATTCTCAATACTCTGCTCAATTCTCCAAAAGTAGCAAGTGATTAAGGGTCAAAACAAATAGGCATTCTCTGAAAACTAAAGACAGAACTACAAAACAAACCGCTAAGACCACCTGAACCACTTCCTTTTTTACAGTTCAAACACAAATCCGTCACAGGAATGAATAATTTAATATTCCAAATAATATATCCATTTCATGGAGTATGGCCTTACCTTTATAGCAAATAAGTCCCCAGTTGCCCTTTTCCTTGCCAGGAAAACTCGACCAAACGCACCTCTGCTGATTGGTTTTATTATTTCAAAATCTTCTATGGATGTCCTATCCTTAGAAGGATTGATAGGGCTTGTTCGCAAACTACGAATTATATCATCTTCCGCAGAACTATCTTCATCCGCAATGATATTTGATGATTCTACTTTTTCATCTTCTATTTGCCCACAAAGACGGACATATTTTTCCCTATAAAATTTGAAACATGTAGATCAAATTTAGAAATAAAGTAATTGTATGCGAAGTAATTGTAAGAAATAATGTATAGAGAAAGAGAGAGAATAAATTGTATGTATTATTATTGATTGATATATTGATCTCTATTACAATGATTCATGATTCCTATATATAGAAGAGGGTGAGTGTGTAGTAGGTAAGGAGTAGGTGAAGTGGAGGTGGTAGTGGTGTAGTGGGTTAGGTTTAGTGGAGTAGGTGAGGTGGTAGTGGTGTAGTGGGTTAGGTTTAGTGGAGTAGGTGAATTTTAACAGTAATAAACAAACCTTTTTTTTTTAGGGAAGGGGGTGAGGCGGTGGGGGAAGCACACATAAAAATTAGTGCAGTTAAAACAAAAGATAAAGCTGGAAGCAACTAGCAGTAATTTTTATGTTTTGTGCAAACCATGAAAAACATTTGAGTCCACTGAACTCACTGCAATAGTTTCTCTAAACATCTTCCAAAGGTTTCGACAACAAGGGCATCCACTTTCCTGTCTTGGATGGCATATTTTAGGTTTTCTAGACGGTCAAGCAAATACTCCAAGGCACTGTAGTCGTTAGTGTTTACATTGGCTACAGATCGAGCAATATCCACTAGCTTGTTTATCTGCCATTCCAAGGTACTTTTAGCAACTTAATTTACACAAGGAAAAACTCGAACAAATTAAGAAACCAAATTATAAAATAAATTGTGCAAGAAATGCCATAATATCCGAAAGGACAAAGTAAAAGACAAAAGGAAGAACAAATTGTTATTGTTACCAAAATTTCTAATCCAAATTAGACACTAGAGCAATTCAACACAGACATCTTCCAAGATTTCTCAATTAAATTTGATATAAAATCAAGACTTTCTATATAGTATGCTGGTTGTATTTCATAACATGCAAGGCAAACTTCATAAATTGGAAATTTCTTCTTGATAGGCTATACTTGTTTATTATCTTTAGGTGGAAATTTTATACAGAATTAAATAATTCCTTTTTATAAATCAAAAGGTTTAGATAGTGCAAACAGGGAAAAATTTTCCAAGAAGTTGATTAATAAAATTGATTATTAAAAATCATCATAATTGTGGAAAGGTTTAGATATTGAAAACAGGGTGAAGCATTCCAAGTAGATTATACATAACATTGATTACTAAAAATCATCTTACATAGTGGAAATTAGAACCAGATATTTTCACATAATATCCAAAGAAAACTGCATTGGCATGACAATAATATAGTTGGATTCAATCAAGAGTGTAACAATTTGAATAGAATGTATCAGTACCAACATATATATGTGTCCTTTGAAAAATCACACCATCATCTGGTAAAATGATGAGTGGCGAATAATTTGAAACAATATGTACCTGCTGACCATTTTCATGCTCCAACATTGTTCCCCGTCCACTCAATAGCAATTCAATTTGGCTTGTTCTTGGGGTAACTAATGGTGATCGTGGCGTTAAGCTTCCTGCTGATGAGGCTTTCTTGCCTAGATCAGGTGTAAAAGGGCACGAGTTTCACATGACATGTCAGGGAAAATGTTCAGATCATCCATCACAAATGCATTATCAGCTTCAGGAGCACGATCAAGCATTTCTTCAGAGCAGTGATGAGAAAAGTTGACTTGCTTGGGTGACAACTCAGCTAAATCTTCAGGTGTACTTGAAGTAGACACTCTTGCAACCTCCGGACTTCCTATTTCACCATCTGAGCTCTTTGGTGTCCAAGACTCCAATATCCTTTCAAGAGTTTCTGCAACTCTTTCAAGTCGTTCATTTACAGTTAAACCTTTTAAGTCACATCTATCAGCAATTGTACAAATTCTAGAGTGCTCCCCTACATGTACGGTTGGTATTTCAACCTCACATATCCGACAGATAAATAAATTGTCATATGTTACATGGTGTTGATCACCTAGAAATGCCGAGGTAACTTTTCGTACTTTTGATGATGTCTCTGAATTTTCATAAGTGCACAAGGGAGTATCCAGATTATCAATATTATCATCAACACCAGCTGTTTCATCTTTAACATGCGAGCTATACAATTTTTCCTTAGATGGGGTGTCAACAGAACCTGGGCCTTTTTGATTCTTTTCAGCTGCAGATGGAAGTTTCTTCCAGGCTGACATCCTATAGCTGCCAGTGGAGGAAGCAACACTTTTGTCAGTGCTAACCTCTCCAGTGTCACCTCCGCTAGCAAAGTCTTGATTTACTTGATTATGTTTAATAGCTATATTGTTTTGTTCCTGCCCATATCCTTTCTTGGGTTGCGTTTCAGTCGCTTCCTTTCCCTCCATTGAGTCATTGAAGTCTTTGTGTGAGGGTCCAAAGAATTGTTCCGGATACACTCCAAGGTCACTGAGTTGGTGCAGACCCAGAATGTGGTCTTCTTCATAACCACTCTCTTTTTGAAACTGCACAAGCCGAGTGCATCGAGTGAGGATAAATAAAAGGCGGGTATATAATTGTTTAAGTGTGCTCATTGGTAGCTCCTGACGCTGGTCGTCCAAATTCTGTACAATGCCTTCACATTTCAACCAAAAATCACTTGGCGACATTTTTGCACAAAACCCGGTTGTAACTAACAAATCCTCCAAACTCTCTTTCCATTCAGGATGTGAATCTGAAGTTTGTTCAAGTATACCCACCAAATCTCCTGCAAAGATACCTAAGTCAGAGTTAACCTCTTCCTTCAATCTGTCAAATTTTGCCCTGACCATTACCATAATTTCCTGGGGGGAAAAAATAAACATCTAAAATGAGTAGAATTACTGAAATATGAAACAAATAATAAATCAATAAAAATTGAACAAAAATGTGAATTCGACAATGACAAAGAAGTGAACTAAAGGGAAACATGAGTACCTCCATATGACCAAATGGACGAGACTTCCAGAATGGAAAAGGCCGCACTCCTTTGGAATTGAGTTCATGAGAAAAGCTCTTGATATCTGCCGCTCTCTTTTTACGTCCACTTGTAACACGCAGTATAGCCTGGAATCGTGGAGATTGGATTTCCTTGGCAAAAGCTGCATGATGACCCTACAATAAGCATAACGCCATGAAGCTGGGCTACCTAACTCCTCCAACTAACTTCAGAAGGGGAGAACAAATATGTGAAAACCACACAAGCACACGCACACACAATTAAGTGACGACTGAATTACCTCCAGTCCCAGACTGAGGGATGATGGGGCTCTTAAGGATTTGGATTGACTCCATTGGACCTTTTTACCTACAAATAATTACACACCACTAAAAATTATTGTTTTCTATATAATAACCTCTTAAGAACACACCACATGTGTGCATATCATGATTAGTATAAAGTGTTATAGCGTTATGTGAACACAACCATGCCCCCGTTAAAATGATTTCCTCTCCAGTCTCTCTTAAACCACTTTTTCCATTCTCCTCAAATGTAGTGACCCTTTTTTTCAAATTCAAATTAGATTATTTAAATACAAGAAGGTAGCATATACAAATATTATTGAGAGATCTTGATAAATAAAAACATTGGTTCCTTTGGAAAATAAAAATATGGCAGGGCTTTAATTTCAGGGAACACCAAAATTGTGTTTTCCCTCATGTATTAGTACGTATTTGCAGGGAGAAAAAAAAAATGGAATATGGATATAGGAAAACTTAAAATCAGTTATTGGTTTCATTAAGATAAACAGATCAACATTATAATTCCAAGTTACATAAGTACTATCGTGCACTCTCTCAAAAAATGAAAGCTTAATTCTCATGTATATGATGTTTTAATTTCTGAACGAAAAAATGCTAATAAGCACTTGCCACATAAAGGAAATGACTTTGTCTTTGAGGGCAGAAACGGGGGTTTTGCGTCTTTCCGAGTGGATGAAACGAATGACATCAAAACTTAACATCTACACTAATGCATAACCGGAGAACACCAATTTTGTGTCTTCCTATTTTTTGAAGTTTAGAAGATTTTTTATTTACTCACATTGTCCCGTACAAAGAATTAATTACTAATAAAATGGCATTAAACATTATCGGCTTGAAGGCCCAAAATGTAAACTGGTGGTTGAGACAACTCCAAAATCCATAGTAAGTAATTGAACAACTGCTACGGTATATAAATTCTTGAATCAATCCTCCACTCACTGCCATCTTCACCATTGACAACATTTCTCTCAAGCACACTATCAGTGCTGCCTTCATGGTATAAGTCTCTCTCTCTCTCTCTCTAAATATTTGTGTATACATATTTGTGTATCTATGGTTTGGCAAATCATTATCGCTCTCTCTATATATATCCTCCATTGTCTCCAGATTCCCTTTCTAACAAAAACACTCATTTTTAGACTGACTATGGACAATTGCTCCTCCTTTTAGAGTTACGCACAGCTCTCGCAATACGAACATGGAAAATTCACATACAGAGGCCTATCATAGGAACATAGAGTTCAAAGTTTGCAAAAGTTCAGGGCAGTGAAGGCCCTCCTTACAGTAAAAAGGTCACAGGACTCCACCAATACCCATCATCAGTACACAGTCAGGCGTTGAGTAGCTGTTCATGCAATACAGAGTTGACCACTTAAGAAAACAATTTAAATTTGTTTTCGTGTGCTTTTGTGTTAGATCTTATTTCTCTTAACAGTTTACAAGGTAGAGCTATTGTCTATCGCTTCTTTAATGTCTCATTTTGGTCTTGGTTTTTAGCTTATACCACTATTTTTACATTTGAGAACCATTGTTTCGCTCTGTTTTAGTTTTTATTTTTTTTAAGGTGACTTTTGCTGATCATCAGTAAGTAAATAAAGGGGCATTGACGTCTAGCTTTTGAGTAAGCAATTGCATTTCCCACAAAAGTCTAGAGTCTTTCTTCCACCAAAGGTATGAGACTCATATTCTTTATATTAATGATTTATTTACTCATTTGAAAAATGTACATACCTTTGTGTCTAAAGGGAAGAACAAAATTTATTTATTTTTTTGCAGTTTCTGTTGTTTATTCTTAATTTAATAAATTAAGCATCTTCTCAAAATCTTGTTACATACTGAAGAAGAGATTAAAGAAAGAAAAACCCTCTACACATTCAGACGAGTTAAGTGAAGGAAATTTTCTCTTTTGAGCATTGGAAATTTTTTCGTACCCATTAAAATCCCATGAGTGCACACCAGCTGGTAAGAAAAAGCATAGTGACCCCTTCTAGTTTTAGGTGCATTAAAAACAAATTTGCACTCACATAGTGACCCCTTCTAGTTTCTATTACTGTTCCCCTTGATCACAAAACTTAAAATTCAAAAGAATTATCACATACACACATTCTAATTCACATTTGAATGAAAAAGACAATATCTCTAGCCCAATTCAGGCGTACATATATATGTGTATAAAGAGAAGAAATATGAGATACAGGAGAGAAGCTGCAGAGAGATAAACGACCTGGTTCTAAGGATGTGGCATTGTGATGAGGAATGGACGATTTGGACCGAGGACCGACTTCATCCTTGTTTGAAGGATTGGCAAGCGAGGACGAGAATCGAAGAGGCGAAGGCAGGGAAGCCGAGCGAGTTCGAATGTGATTGAGACCGAGAGAGGACGCAAGAATTATGGACTCATCCTCACATTCCGATTCAGCATCACCGACATCTTCGTCGTTTGCATCCTCAATCTCGCCCTTGCTGTGGCTCCGGCGAACCGGAATCGGAGGGATCTTCCTCAGCTTCAACCTCAGTGGTGATGAGTCCGCCGTGTCGGTGGTGTTTGGTTCTGGTTCGGAATTCTCTGAATAAGGAGGTGGAGTCGACATTGATGGTGGTTGAAGATTTGAAGATTCGGCTCTTTCATGGCGTCGTCATGAGTGGATACAGTAAATTCTAGTGTGAGAACGAGATAATAATTCAAAGTTTTGGGAGAGAAAGAGAGATTGTAGGGTTGGGATGAAGAGAGAGAAAGGTGGATAAATGGAACAATTCAGGAAAGAGAAAGTATAAATCCATGAGAGAGGGAGAGAGAGAGAGAGAGAGAATAACGGATATAGAAAGAGGGAGAGAATTGATCGATTCTGGATTAAAAAAAATCCAAAATTTTAATAATATCGGTAAATACATACAGATTTGTAACGTAATGTAGTGTTTGTTATTCAAGACAAGGATTTAAAGTTTGATGCAGATGAGAGAGAGAGAGAGAGAGAGGAGATAGCAGAGGTTTTCGCGGGAAATGGGTAGAGGCTGACACGCAAGTGGGATTTAGTTTCAAAACGTGCTTGCCTCGACTGCGAACGTTAGTACCTTATAGGGTTGTGTGAGGAATTCGTAAAATTTGTAATTTGATTCAGTCTAGTCTAATTCGATAAGTTTGAATTAGTTTTTTAAATTTGTGGTTCGACTTTGGATTGAAGAATTAAAAATTTGTAATTCACGGATTAATTTTGAATTGAACTCCACGATTTCGGATTGAAACCGATTCAGACCATATACAAATAGCCTATATTTTTATTATATATTCTCCCTTATTGTATCTTCTCTTATTCTATATAAAATCTAAACTCAAACCTAAAATCGTATTATATTTTAATAATATCGGTAAATACATACAGATTTGTAACGTAATGTAGTGTTTGTTATTCAAGACAAGGATTTAAAGTTTGATGCAGATGAGAGAGAGAGAGAGAGAGAGAGAGAGAGAGAGGAGATGGCAGAGGTTTTCGCGGGAAATGGGTAGAGGCTGACACGCAAGTGGGATTTGGTTTCAAAACGTGCTTGCCTCGACTGCGAACGTTAGTACGTTATAGGGTTGTGTGAGGAATCTGTAAAATTTGTAATTTGATTCAGTCTAGTCTAATTCGATAAGTTTGAATTAGTTTTTTAAATTTGTGGTTTGACTTTGGATTGAAAAATTAAAAATTTGTAATTCACGGATTAATTTCGAATTGAACCTCACGGTTTCGGATTGAAACCGATTCAGACCATATACAAATAGCCTATATTTTTATTATATATTCTCTCTCATTATATCTTCTCTTATTCAATATAAAATTTAAACTCAAACCTAAAATCGTATTATATTCTTTTATTACTTTTGTCTGTTAGTTTTTAGTTTTAATTTGTAATGGTCTAAATACTTATGGTGAAACCAGTTTTCTTATGGTTATTTAAATTTTAGAACAATATATTGCTATTATAGAAAAACATGTTACTATTGTGGAACTAATATAGTGCTATATTTATATTTTTATGAAATTAAAGTGTTATATATATTTTTTTTATTATTTAATTATGTGAATTCGTGATCCTAAACTGATACAATCCGTATTTAAATGGATTGGTTCGAATTAGTTCCATGTTTTAAACAGATCAGATTGGTTCCAATTTTTCAAGAACAGTAGATAACTGATTAGTCTTGATGTTATCCTAATCCGAACCATGCTCACCCCTAATACCTTACATATATTTGTGATTTTTTTTTTTTAATGATTATAACTGAGGTACATAAACGAAATTCTCTCTAATTTATTTACTATTTATTTAAGCTTCCTTTGCTTAGTAGGTTGTTGGAAGCACACACCCAATTTGGTTTAGTTTTAAAATTATAATTGTAGAATTATAAATTGAGTTTTAAAAATAAAAAATTTATTTTGTTATGAATTTAAAAAAAAATTGAATTTTTGAATTTTGAGTTGTATTTGAAATTTTTTAGATTCTTTTTTTTAAAATATTTAAAAATGTTTAAGAAAATTTTATTTTTTTATTTTAAATATATAATTTTTATTTTTTTATATTTTTTAATATTTTAAACTTAAAACACAACTCCACACTTAAATCATAACCAAACATATAACTCAAAACTCAATTCAAAAATTATTTTTAAAACTCATAATCAAACACATAATTCTAACTTAATTCAAAAACACTTTTTAAAACTCATAATCAAACTCTTTTTAGAATTTTATTAAAAAATATTTTTAAAAATATTTCTTATTTTATATTTTTATGAAAATATTTTTTCATTTTTTTGAAAAATAACTTTTGTTATTTTTTTAAGGAATGGCCAAATAATTTGTTATGATTTCGATATATATAGTGATCCAAATTTTTTTTAAATTTAAAAAAAGTAAAAAAAAAAATTAAAAATTTTGAAATAAATTTTTTAAAAAATACAACTCAAATATTTTAAAAAAAATACAACGCACAATTGTGTGAAATACAACGCACATTAAAAAATTACAATTCAAAACTCTTTTCAAAATTTATAACCAAACAAATTCTCTTTTTTCAAAACTCATAACTCAAAACACAATTCCACACTTAAATTATTATTCTAAATCATGGTTCTAAAAATATTTTTAAAAAACAAAATATTTTTTAAAAATATTTTAGAGTTTTGAAAAAGAGTTTAGTTTTGAGTTTTGAATTATGTGTTTGGTTATAAGTTTTGAAAATAGTTTTTGAATTGAGTTTTGAGTTGTGCATTTGGTTATAAATTTTGAAAAGAGTTTTGAAATTTTTTTTATTAGAATCAGAATTCTAAAAATAAACCAAATGCAACATGTTTTTGCTCCAAACTGATTCCAATCTTCCAACTAAGTTTTTGAATTTTTGAATTAAAAAATAATTTAAAAAAATGTTATTGGCTAACACATTAATATAATAATTAAAAAAGGGAGTTTTTTTTTTTTTTTTAGTAAATCCTATTCTTAAAATTAATATTCCATCTAACCCATATTCTTTTTTAGTATGAGGGCCGCTATTAGCACTTATCTCTTTACTTTGGCCTCACATTTCTTTGAATCCCCACCTAACAAAATGAACTCCTTCCATTTTTTCTTTAAACCCTCACCTTAATACCAACTATACCCCTCATCCTTTTGACTCCTCATTATCATCATCTTCAAAGTAACCTCTCAGCTAAAATCTGCAAACAAGACAAGTATTGTGGATTCAAAAATGATTATATTGAAATTAAGATTTGTGGTGAAATTAATTGATGATGAAACACATTGTAGACACCCCATTTTTGACCAACCTTAAGACTCAGACGTCACCGATTGAGCGCTCGGTGATGGTGCATATTGTGCTCGTTCAGAAGTTTCAGAGTCTCGGCTGCGAGCCTCGCCTCCGGACTTCCGGACTCTTTCATGCTTTGCCTCAGTTTGTGAACCAGGCTCTGTTTTCTCTTCCCGAAGGGAGGGAGAGGTCTCGTAGATCATCTCTCAGTGGCCGTAGGCTACGTTTCGTGGTCGTAGGCCATTTTGCCCGTTTGGAGTCCGGTTTCCGGTTTTTCGGAGCCGTTGATCGTGTGCCTCAGTTCGGGACTGCTTAACTACCTCCGTTTGCTCCGATTTTTGGCATGCATCTTATTTTCTCCCTCTTGAGGGACACTGTCACTCGAGAGACCAACTTCGTGGTCGAACACCACTTCCGGTGCCTAACAGTCAGTTTTCGGGGCCTCGGGCTGCGCGTTTCGGCCCCCGAACCTTCATTTTGCATCGGTTTGGGCTCATTTTTGGTGGAGACCTTATTTTCACTGCTAAGAAGGTCGTAGAAGGGTGGGAGGCCAGTAATTGTTCCGACAACCAGTTTTATTCCTCCATCGCCCTCCGTCGCCCGTTTTTCTCACTTGAAAGCCAATGTTGACCACCCTAAGGCCACTTTTTCTAGCCCTAAACCACATATTTGTGTTGTACACACCTGGGAGGCCACCAATATCACATGGCCGGCCAGTAATTGTGTTTGACCCTTTTGAACCCCTCCAAAAAGTGGGCTTTTCTCTCTCCTGATTTACTTTCTCCAGTTTTTGACCACATGGTTGTGTTGTGCACACATGGTCGGCCACCTGCAACTTAAATACCAGGCCGGCCTTGCTCCCCTCCTCTGGTACTTTACAAATATGTATTATGTTTCCCCCCAGATTGTGTATCCGGGGGGCTGCACTTTTGAGGGGAAATTTGAAATCTATTCCCCCCCTTTTTTTCCCCCTCTTTTGCCTATATAACTAGCACCCCCAGCTGTGTTTTAGAGGTTAGAAATTTTGGTTTGGAGCTCCTACATTGTATCTCTCTCTCTCTCTACACTCCAACCCTCAAAAACCTCCCAAACCCTACACCATTTCTACACCACCACCTAGCACCTTACCACTACCATCCATTCCAGCCACTTGGAGCTGTTTTCCAGAGCTAAGGAGCCACCAAACTTGGTCCAAGAGTTGTCAAAGATTTGGTCTTCAAGGCAAATAAAAAATCAGCAACCTTCCGGAGCCTGGCACGCATCCCAAGAATAATTGCAAACAGAGGCAAACTGGGGCATCGCGAGGGATTCTCCGCACAAGACAACCCGAGCATGCATCATTCATCATCCGGAGCAGATTTGAGGCAGTCCCTGGCTTGCATGCCAATTTATTGCTTTCCTAATTTAATTTGTTAATTAATTAGGGTTTTGTACATATTTGGACTGTAATTATTTGGGACTGTATATTATTTATTCGGACCCTCCGAGCGAGGGCACAACTGTAATAAGTGTGCGTATGTGTGATGTATGTCTTCCAACCCCACGGTTGAGCCAGTACAACCGCATGAACAATACAAACGTGCCAGCATTCAAAATAAGATGCTCAATTAAGCATATAAAAATTCAGAATGGGATAAACTTTCAAAATAAGACATTTTATTGGATTAAACAGTAATTACAAAAATGCAATCCGCGTTCGAAGCATTACAATATCTGTTCTCATACGGCGTCGCATTGGTACAACAGCAGCACCGAATCAACGCCCGCTGATCGGAGAGCATCCGCAACTTGAAATGCCTTGATCTGACCATGCTTGAATCCGCGATGTTCACACTAGCGAGACAGTCACTCTTGAGGTGGAGAGCTTCGACACCATAGACAACGTCAAGGCCAAGATCCAGGACAAGAAAGGAATTCCTCATGAAAATAGTAATACTCAACAGTCGCGGCGTTACGTCGGCCTCATTTCTCGGTCGCGGTTGCGGAGAACTCCCCCATTGCTGTTTCTCCCTTTGGGCTGATCTGCTTCGACGACTTAGAGGCTAACGTTTTTCCCATTTTTTCATAGCCCTACTTCCCGCATGAGTGGGTTCTCTGCTGCGATTCATTGCAATTTCAAGCTCAACCAAAGTCCGAGTTTCTCCTCTGCTGCTGAAGAAAACTCCATTTGACATTCACACTTATCTAACCCCACGCAACAAAATCATTTTAAAACGAGTTTGAACACAGTAAGCGAAGT